TATATTAAGTACACCGCTCTTGTCAAGTGCATACTGATATGATTTGAGAAAGTTTCAACAGTTTTTTACATTTAATCAAAGTTTTTTTAAGTGAGAATCATTAGTTTCAAATCATCCATATATAACACATGTTTAAGCTTCGCTACTATAGTAGTATTGTTGTTTTTAATGCTAAAACCTAAGTCAGTGGAATTCAACAGCTGAGATAGTGGGTTCGTCACTAGGCAAAACCACAATGGCTCCTTGGAATATACCGCAGTTAATTGCTTATTTTTTGATATTTTACTTTTTACTTAATTGATATTTTTCATTTGGTCTTCAAATCTTTTATTATATGTCTTAAGAAGGTCACTATATTATCATCGACTTTATAATATATTTTTAATATAGTTAATAAAGGCAGTGAAGAGCAATCTTTATACACTAAAGACCTTAGAATCATATGTAACCTCTATTGAAACCAAACAGCAAAACTTAAAGTTGAAAATGAACTGACCGAGGATATCCAGATTCGCCATGGGGTCCACCAAGAGCGTATTTTATCACCCTTGTTATTCAATTTATACAGTGAAGCCATCTCAGAATTAGCGCTTGCCGAGGTCAGTGAGGGCCTTATAATAAACGGTGAGCCACTTAATATCATAAGATATTCTGACGACACCGTCCTTCTGGCAGGAACACTAGAAGAACTGCAATGTCTTGCTGAACAATTAAATATACGTTGCAACAATTATGAACTAAAAATAAATTTAAAGAAAACCAAGTTCATGGTATTTACAAAAGCACAAAATAATCAAAGTTAAGCTAGTACTAGATAATACAGAAATTAAACATATATCTTCGTACAAATACCTTGAAGCATGGATCACAGAAGATACTGACCAGACAAAAGAAATAAGATGCCGTATTGAAATTGCACGGTCAACTTTTAATAGAATGAGAAAACTTTTTTGTAATTGTCATATCAATATATCGCTACGGAAAAGAATGCTTCGATGTTATATTTTCTTTACCCATTTGTATGGGGTTGAAGCTTGGACACTTAAAAAATCCAACATTAAAAACCTAGAAGCATTAGAAATGTGGTGTTATCGACGTATTTTGAAAATATCATGGATGGATCGCAAAACAAACGAACAAGTTCTCAAACAACTAGGAAAATAATGTGATGTTTTAATTTACATAAAAATCAGGAAATTGGAATACTTGGGGCATATCATAAGAGGTTAAAAATATGAACTACTAATATAAGGAATTGTAAGATATTCATGTTTGAAGAATAAGAAGAATTTGTACTGTTATTTGTCAAGTCACAATGTATTTGAGGACATAACCTCACTGACAATTAATTAGCAATTTGAGTGTAATGCACATGTTTTGTAATTTGTAAAACGTTCTTTTGAAATATATGTTTATTTAAGCCATCTACCATTTATTATTACTATATAACAGGAATATAATGCAGGGTAAAATCAAAGGCAGAAGAAGCGTAGGAAGACGTAAAATCTCGTGGCTACGCAATATCCGTGAATGGTTTGGATAAAGTTCAATTGAACTATTCAGGCGCGTAACCAACAAAATTATAATTGCCAGAATGATTTCCAACCTCCGATAGGAGCGGAACTTGAAGAAGAAGAAGGGATACTCAATATAAAAAAATAGTAAAAATCAGGCTGCGCCTGATAGGAGAATTGAGAAAAAACTTCCAGAGAACTGAACATTCTACTTATTATTAATTTTGTATTTTTAGTTTGTACGTGACATATTTGCGTTATATTAAACGAAAAACTTGCTCTCTCATATTTTTTTCCCTTTGGATTACACAGGACTATCTGTTCTATATATGCAACAAACATAAAGTAAAAACCAACTGACGGTATTAGATTTTGATTTGATACAGAGCAGCAACAAGCCGCATATACGTATTTCGATCTCTTTAGATCTCCTCAGTACGGTATAGTTACCATACTTCATTTGGAGAATACTAGTACTCCATACTATTTATTTACTTCATTTCATCATCATCATCCAGCCTTAAGAGTCCACTGCTGAACATAGGCCTCTTCCTCATGTTTCCAACCCCGTCTATCTTGCGCCGCTCTTATCCAGTTTTAATTGAGTCTTCTTAAATCGTCAGTCCATCTTATAGGTGGTCGACCGACGCTTCTCTTGTCTTCCCTTGGCCTCCATCCCAATAACCTCTTTGTCCATCGCCCATCTGTCATTCTGGCTATGTGTCCTGCCCATCTCCATTTTAGTCTGGCTATCTTCTCGATGATGTCAGTCACTCCGGTTCTTCTCCTGATGTCTTCGTTTGTTATTCTGTCTCGGAGAGTTATTCCTAACATGGACCGCTCCATTCTTCTCTGCGTGACTCTCAGTTTAGTAGCTGCTGCTTTTGTTAAGGTAAGTGTTTCTGCTCCGTACGTCAAGACTGAGAGGACGCACTGATCAAATACCTTTCTCTTTAGGCATGTGGGCAGCTCACTTTTAAAAGTTTCTCTCAGTTTTCCAAATGCTGCCCACCCAAGGCCGACTCTTCTCTTCAGTTCATGAGTCTGGTTATCTCTGCCAATCATAATTTCATGTCCCAGGTATTTATATCTATCTACGAGTTCTATTTCTTTCCCACCAATACTGATGTTCTGGTTGGGCACCAAATTGGTCATGATTTTTGTTTTCGAGATATTTATATTTAAACCTACATTTTCTGTAGCCACAACGAGTTCCTGTACCATCTCTCTTGCCATACCTAGATCTTCAGCTATTATAATATATCATCGGCGAAACGTAAGTTGTTTAGATAGTCTCCATCTATTTTTATTCCCTTTGTCATCCAATCCAAATTCTTAAAAGCATGTTCTAGCACCGTATTAAAAAGTTTAGGTGACATTGGGTCTCCTTGTCTAACCCCCCGTTTTATTTTTATGCGATTACTGTTAGTATGTAATTTGACAGTGGTTGTTGCCTGCAGGTATATTTTGTATAATAATTTGGTATATCTATAATCCAGCCTGCATTCTTTAAGCGCCTGTAATATTTTGCTTAGCTCAACTGTGTCAAAGGCTTTGTGAAAATCGATAAATGTTAGAACTAGAGGTTTATTGTATTCCACTGCTTTCTCTATTAGGGTTTTTATACTTTGTAGATGGTCATTTGTTCCGTAACTTTTTCGGAATCCTGCCTGTTCCCTTGGTTGATAAGTCTCTAATTTTCTTTCCATTCTCTTAACTAGTATTCGCGTAAACAACTTATATATATATATATATATATATATATATATATATATATATATATATATATATATATATATATATATGGCTGAGGAGGCTAATCGGTCTGTAGTTCTCTAAATTTGCTTTGTCTCCTGCTTTGTGTAATATAATCATAGTAGGGTTGTTCCAGACTGTTGGAATATTGGCGCTGTGAAGGCAGATATTGAAAAGTTGTTTAGTTTTTTCAAGTAATACATCCCCTCCAATTTTTAGTACTTTTGATACTATTCCATCTTCACCCGGGGTTCGATTATTTTTCATTTTCTTCAGGGCTTCTGATCTGATCCTTGGTTTAATACCTCAGTTTTTAGTGTAATTGGAGGTTCCGTATTGTTATCTTTTTTTCTTGATCTATGTAGTAGATAACTCTGTGTAGAACTCTTTGACTATTCTTAATATTTCATCTCTGTTCGTTGTTTCTTCTCCAGTTCTGTTTCTCAGTTTGTTAGTTTCTATTTTCCCTTTTTGTACGCTCCTCTTCAAAACTTTCATGTTCTAATTTTTCTCTATTGCCTGTTTTGTTTTTTCTACATTGTAGTTTCTTATGTCTTTTCTTATTGCCTTTGTAATCGTCTTATTTATTTGATTTATCGCTTCTTTTCTTGCAGTGTTATTTCCTTTCATTTGTCGCCTTAGTTCTATAAGGGTTTTCGTGGGTTGAATCAGTTTTTCATCTTTTTTGCTTGTCGGACAATATTTAGTTTGAGCCTGTTACATTGTGTTGACTATTTGTTTGTTCAATATATTGATGTCAGCTGTTGTTGTATCTTTCAAGGAATTCCCAATATATTTTTCGAACTCCTGGATGTTAGTTGGTTTTGTCCAATTCTTTGGTTGTTTCTTGTTTATCATTTTGAGTCTTTCTTTTTCGGTTGATATCGTTATTTTAGCTCTTACTAACCTATGATCACTGCTTGTACTGAACTGGTTTAGCACATTTACGTCTTTAAATAATTCTTTTCTGTTTGTTAAGAAATAGTCGATTTCATTCCGTGTTTTTCCATCAGGACTTTCCCATGTCCATATTCTGTGTTTTTTCTTTTTAAAGAAGCTGTTCATTTGATAGAGATTGTTTTCCAAAAGGAAAGTCAGTAGTTGTTTGCCTGTATTATTTCTGCCTTCGCTTCCAAAATTTCCCAATATTATTTAAGAGGGGTCTTCCTTAGTGCCTATTTTGGCGTTGAAGTCACCACCTATTATTAAGAAGTGGCCAGGATTTTTCTTGATTGCACAGGATATTTGGTCGTAGAATATTTGGACTTCTTCGTCTGGATGTCCTGTAGTAGGAGCGTACACTTGAATGAACTTTAGGATATATCTGGCGTTTATTTTGATGTTCAAGTAGACCACTCTTGTTGAGATTTGGTTTATTGACACAATTTTGTACTTCATTTGGAGTACTAGAAATCGAATTCACTACGAATATAGTCCATGATTAACGGCATTTGGAGTGCAATTTTTAGACTCCCTTGCCGATGCATTCATCAAGCTGTTTGCTTCGCAAGTCTTAGGGGGCACGGCGGCTTATATTTGAATTCGATTTCGCCAGGTAGAAATTATATTTGAATTCGATTTCACCTTTTTTTTTTATAAAGTAAAAACTTTCTTAACATTAATAAATATTTAATAAATAGTATGTTTTGTAAATCTTTTATCTTAAATAATACAAAAAATATATACAATAGTTTTTTTTATTAATATGGAGAATATTTCAATATATTTTTTCTAATTCTTTTTCTTGACATCATCACCTTCCGGATTTTGGTGTTTTGTAAACGTTAGGAATACCTAAAACACAAAAGATACGAATATGTCAACAAAAATAATATCGACAATTTTTATGAAGTTTTTAAAGAACATCACACTAACAGTTACATTAAAAACAATAACAATATTATAGGCTAGTAAATCGTTGAAAGTAATATAATGTGAAAATAGTAAGTAATTCTTAAATCAAAACTCATTAAAAACAATCTGTGAAACACTAAAATATGTAACAATAAAATACTGAAAGCTTTGTTTTCAAAACTTGTGGCGTACTCTTAGTGGCATCTGGTTAAAGCCAGAAAGCCATTATTTTGCTAAAAAACAGATGTTGTTTATCAAGTTGAAAAGCAAAGTGAGTATGTGGAGAGGTCAAAAGAAAAGAGGGCCTTTCCAGGAGAGCATTTTAACACCAATGTTTTTTAACATATATAGACGCTGCGCTGGTTTATGGCAAGCACTTTCGCACGAGAAATTAGAAAGTACCGTAAACACAATGCATTTCATTGCGTTTTCAATAACCCAACGGAAGAAAGAAGCAGAAGTATAAGAAAATAGTTCTCACCTGTTCCAGACTACTTTGTCCCAAAGAATAGTCTTCGATATTCAGATCACTTCGTTTGGCCCTTTCTAATATGCCAAACATAGTTGACCACGCCATGGAAGTGTCCGTTATATAATAATATAATAATTCTTGATGTTTCTCTCTAAGATGGGCACGTGGAAAATGATCCTTGATATACTTTTCTATTAGTTCGGTATCTGCATGTACCAGGCCAGCGCTCTCTGGTAATTTTTTTAGTTTAATGGTTAAGGTGTATCCCTCTGCGAATTTATTCTTAAGATGCTGTGTGGATCCAAGGCATTTGAAATTACCGTTGACCATAATGGCTATTCGAGTGCACAAGGCTTCACATTCTTCCATGCTGTGAGAAGTTAAAACAATACACTTGCCGCTATCTCGAATTTTGCATAAGGAATCCCACAGGTATCGTTTCGTGGCTGGGTCCATACCTGTAAATAGATAAGAATTATTAGGTAGTAAATTACTATTAAGTTTATAAATTTTGGAAGGTTATGTTCCTTTAAGATTCAATGAAATGTCAAGTTTCAGTGGCTATAAAACACTGCCTGGAATAATTGCGGGTGAACTAAGTAGCTCTGCGGTTACCAAAGTCGGTTAACATATTATGGAAGGTGATTGGCAAGGCTAGCAACCTACCTATCGTAAAAACGAATATTGCTTAAAAAACCATGTACAACCTCGGAAGAGAACTAATACTGTGGTCAATTGTTAAAATCAAAATCAAAAAATTGGTCAAAATGTTAATGCATATCGGAAAGTATTGTAACACTAAAGATAAGGATGGAGGAAGACTTGAAGGTCATCAAAGTATACGGTCTAAAAAATTATCAGCCTTAAATAACAAGGGAAACGTTTTATAATGAATTACAACAACTAGTAGATTAAGTCAAAGCAAAGATCATATTGGGGGCTTTTAATGGTCGAATAGGCAATCAATTTATACTCAGAATTAAGCAAAAACATAACGACAAAGAACGAAAATGAAGAACTGATGGTAAACTTAGAATAAACAACACACTTTTTGACCACAAAGACCAACACAAATATACATTTAATGACAACCGTGGACAAAGATCTATACAGAAAAAGAATATTAGGGAATATTGCTGGGAATGAAATATTAGAAAACAATAACATCGAGAAAAGCTGTAAAATGAAGACTAGGTAGTCGTCAATATATTAAAACCAATTGAGTATTTCAGGATTTTTCAAGATGTATGTGGATTGTAGATGATCCATAAATATATCAGCTAGAAAAGCAACGGGACAGGTAACATGGTTAAGCTATCTGGTTGTCTGTAATATTTATTTATTGCTTAATACGCATTTTTAAGCTCAGTACTTGTAATTATTGTAATAATTGGATAATGGAGTTATTAGAAGACGGTGATATTAAATTGGGTCTTAGAAGAGAGTGAACTAGATTAATTGTTTCATGTTTGGGGACAAAAGTGAGAATATTGCTTATATCAAAGAAAAGTATTGTAATTTTGGAACGAAGATGTACTTGTTGGAGGCTATTGAGTAGATAAAGAATTAAACAAAAATTTAGGAAATATCGACCACAATAGAATTAGCGAGTACGATGACATAAACGTTCTGTGGAAAACTATTAAAGAACAAATGAACAATGTAACGAAAAAACATCTAAAAGTAACACCTAGAAATAACAAACAGGAATGGATGACAGAAGAGATTTTACAATTAATGAACAAACGAAGAGAATCTAAAGGAAAAAATGACAAGGACGGAGAATACAAAAGACTAAATAGAATAATTCGAAAAAAAATAACCGAAGCAAAAGAGAAATGGCTGGAAACAAAATGCGTTGAAGTAGAAGAACTGCAACAAAGGCACGATTTTTTTAATTTACATAAAAAGGTAAAAGAGTTTACATCGACTACCAAGAGAACGACTTTTCACACCATGCTGAACACGGATGACAAACTGCTAGAATCAACGGAAGATAAACTGAAAGAATGGGAAAACTATATTAAAATTCTTTTCACGACATACGAGAAGAACCAAGATTGGAAAATAACAACGAAGGGCCAACAATTCTGAAATCTGAAATCATAAATGCAATTAATCATCTCAAAACAAATAAAAGCCCAGGTCCAGACGGAATATACCCAGAAACGTTCAAATTAATCAGCGAAGAAAATATCGAATTATTTGTCCTTTTATTCAATCGCATTTATGATACAGGTAAAATACCCCAAGATTGGCTGGAGTCAATATTCATCCCACTACCAAAAAAGCCAAACCCACAACACTGCAATGGATTCCGTCTGATAAGCCTTATGAGTCATGCAGTAAAAGTCCTACTAAAAATCGTACATAATCGTATCTATAGAAAGTGCGAAACAATCATCGGAGACGATCAGTTTGGATTCAGAGCCGGCATGGGAACGAGAGAAGCCCTGTTCAGTTTACTAGTTCTCGCCCAAAAATGCTACGACCAACAGAAAGATATATTTATATGCTTTATAGACTTCGAAAAAGCATTTGATAGAGTAAGACACGACCTACTATTAGAACGTTTGCAAGAAGTCGGTTTAGATGGAAAAGACATCAAATTCTTAAAAAACTTGTACTGGAACCAAAAAGCCAGAGTTAGGATCGAAGGTTCCACATCCGCAGAAGTAGAAATTAGGAGGGGAGTTAGACAGGATGTGTTCTTTCGCCTCTGCTGTTTAATCTTTACTCCGAGTTTCTATTTAAAGAAGCATTGGAGGATTCCAAGGATGGAGTCAAGGTGAATGGCGTAAATATCAACAGTATCAGATACGCCGATGATACAGTGTTAATTGCGGATTCCGACTCAGGTCTACAACGACTCATCGACAAGACCAACTCGACCTGTGAGCAATTTGGTATGAAAATAAACATTAAAAAAACCAAAGTGATGTCAATCCGAAAAAACCAAAACGTACCTCAACCTTGCACAATAAATGGGCACATCTTAAAACAGGTCAATAGATTTAAGTACCTAGGATGTTGGATCGATAGCAGCCTAAATCCTGATCAAGAAATAAGATCGAGAATAGAACAGGCTAGAAAATCTTTCGAAAAAATAAAAAAACTGCTTTGTGATTCTCGAATAAAACTCGAAATTCGACTACGTTTATCAAAATGCTACGTCTGGTCGACTCTTCTATATGCAGTTGAAACGTGGACCCTTAAAACATCAACCGTAAATAAATTGGAGGCCTTTGAAATGTGGATCTACCGGAGACTACTCAAAATTTCATGGACATGGCATACCTCAAACGAAGAAGTGCTGCATAGAATAGGCAAGGAAAGAGAACTTTTTAACACAGTAAAGTAAGCAAAACATCATACCTAGGCCACATACTGAGAAATAATAAGTACCAATATGCCCAACTTATAGTGAAAGGAAAAATCGAGGGAAAGAGAGGCCTAGGAAGGAAAAGACTATCATGGCTCAGAAACATCCGACAATGGACAGGGCTAAATTTTGAACAGCTAATAAGAACAGCTGAAGATAGAGAAGAGTTTAAAATTGTAGTAGCCAACCTCCATTGAGGAGGGGGCACTTTAAGAAGAAGAAGAAGATTGAGTAGATGACTAGTGTTTTTGTGTGAGAAACGAGAGGTAAAACTCGTCATGTCGTTAATGAGAAAAAGTATAAAATTTAATACAATCGAAACAAGAGTGTTGATAAAGCTAACAACTAGACGAAGAAAAATTTAATGTAAAAAAAAGAATAATAACATACCTGTTGTAGGTTCATCTAAAAATAGTACTGGGGGATCCCCTATCAATGACAAAACAGTACTAAGCTTCCTCTTATTTCCACCGCTCATCTCTTTCACTTTCTTGTCCAAATGACGATGGAAATCGAAGTCTCGAGACAAGAAGTTGGCAATTCTTTGGGTTCTCTTGAATTCTACCCCTCTGAGTAGGCAGTACATGATAATTGTTTCTCTTGCTGTCATATCATCTAGTAAAGCATCGAATTGAGGACAGTAGCCGATGTTCCGTTGTACTTGCTTTAGTTGAGTTTTAACACTCTTTCCTTCGATCTAGAATATGAATGTGTCGTGTTAGTATCTTCGAATAAAAGTAATTTTACAACAAAAAATTGTAAAGCATAAACATGCAACGCTGGGCAAGCATATAAGATGTAAATAAATAAATACGATTATATATAAAAATTGGTGTCATGCTTAAAAATCAGTAATCAAGTGTTATGACATATTAAATGGAATTTTGTTTTCAACGTAACTTAAATGATCGAAATAGGCCTCGGCTAAATGCTCACTACTATATAAAGTTCTTGTAAGTTGCGTACTATATTTCTCTTATGTAGAATACGATATTTTTATGTGACATGTGGCACATACCACGGCATATATGTGAAAGATAATATTTACGCAACACCACAGCTTATCTAACTTACATACTTTCATAATATTATGAAATTAAATCCCGTGCTAATATTGTTGACTTCGATCTCTAATAATAGATATGTAAATAGCCTGGCATCAGAGGTCAAAAATATCATATTTATTTATCTTAGCACGCATTACGATCGGACGACTAAGCGCAAAAATACGTATCCAAGACCGTTAAAGCACGGTATTAATTTTCGTTTGTCATCGCGTATTCTATTTGCTAAATCCTGTCATATGACACGTCGTATCTATCTGTACGTTAAATCGTTTAGATGATATATGCTTAAGGTCTTAACGACATTTCGCCATGTTTGATTTTTATTTGTCATTGTATTTTATTCGCTAAATCTTGTCACATGACATATCGCACGGTTCTGTGTGCTAAGTCGTTTAAGCACTATAAGCTTAAGGACCTTTTGATAATTCACCCCTCTAACCCCAACCCTTTCCTCTTTACTTCTTCAGCTACTCTCTTTTCAATGACCCCTCATAAGTCACGATCCAACTAGCCGTTCTACCCCCACCATAAAACGCTCAACACCAGAATGAATCTTAATCTGAAAGGTTAATTCTTAACGCATCCACCTAATCGGAGTATTTGGGGCAATACTCTTGTATCTCGTTTACATGCCATACAATCACATAAAAAAATTGAAAGTATACTCAGTGACACTATTTTCCAAATTACACAACTTAAACATTTGACCTAGGGAACTTTTAAATTTTACTTTATACAGGTTTGGGGCTTAATCAAAAAACAATTCAAAAAACAAAAGTGCAAAATAACTCAGCCAGTATCAATCGTTCATTAAAAAAGAAAGACATGCCAATTTATTAATTATTCCCGAATATATTCCACTACAGTATGTAGGCTACTATCTAAATCTTAAGAGTAAATAATATTATTTTGATATGTACGTCATATAAAACATGTATATAAGTAATTTGTTAATACATAATATCTACGTTTCTTAATTTCACATGTACTTCATTTTTTATTTCTAAAACAACGTTTTAACCGCCTTACTTCCATAAACCAACGTTTTAATCGATGAGGATTTACACGTTGTTTTATTTAAATATAGCATATAATTGTGACCAAACTAGTAAAGTAACGAATGTGCAAAATTGACGTATCTAAACTAATAGACTAAGCAGCTGTGGCAGGTAAAGATGTATAATTCAGTAAAACAGCAAATATGCAGGTCCAATATTTACGTCATTGTTGACTATTTTTAGTTTAACGAATCTACACCTACTTCACTATTCACAACGCTAAACAGTCGAATATGAATATTCGATAGGTTAAAAAGCGAATGTGCCACATCATTAGTTTTAACCAAAATGTTTGACAACTGTTACTGATTATCAAAATAACGAAAGTGGCATATTATTTCGGAATTTTGATTGGAATTGGAACTTACGTGGTAAAGTGAGACTTCTCAATCTCAGTACTGCAACTTTAATATTGCGATAAGTCGAATGTATTTATTATTTATTTGCAGCAGTGATTCCAGTGATAGGCCTACTATAAATAATAACCGCAACCGAGCACAAAATCAGAATCATGTATCACCAAAAAAGCGAGAAGTAGCAAAAAATGGTGTTTATACAAGACCGGAGAAAGCATCCAAGAAAATAAAAGGTCTTAGATATTCAACTGTAAAAGATGCCCTGGCCGAATCAACCACGAGAGAGAAAAAATCTATACTGGTTTCCATAAATTACCATCCCTGCTTGTGATAATTCATCCTCTAACCCCAACCGTTTACTATTTATTTCTTGAGCTACTCTCTTTTTAACGACTCCTCATAAGTTACGATCCAACTAGCCGTTCTACCCCCACCATAAAGCGCTCAACAACAGAATGATCCTTAGATTTTGGTGGAGGCACATGTTAATTCTTATCGCATCCACCCAATCTGAGTATTTGGGGCAATACTCTTGTATCTCCTTTACATGCCATACAATCACATAAAAAATTGAAAGTATACTCAGTGACACTATTTTCGGAATTATACAACTTAAGTATTTGACGTAGTGGACTTTTAAATTTTATTTTATACAGGTTTTGGGCTTACTCAATATAAACAACAAATATATGCTACATGAGGCTATGACGCCTATTTTAAGGGTTGGTTTTTTTTTATTGGGAAAACGTCAACTGTCATAAAAGAGGATCATGGATGTGAAGTGGATTAAGGTTTTCGTGTCCGAGGATAGGTCGTATGAGGGGATTTGCTTGGAAGTGTGTACGGGTTGTATTTGTTTTGTGTCTTTTGGTTGGATTTTTCGGTGTGGGCATTTTTGTCAAAATGCCGGGTGGCCTCCATTACAGTTGAAACAGAACACCTATCATGGGGCATGCAGTAGACCTGTGATGTTCTCCAGAGTCTGGACAGATAATTGAATTTTCGAGTCATTCGTTACTAAGGTGTACGCTTTTGCAGCGTCTCGAACAGTATTACAGTCGAACCGGAAATTTCACTGGAAGTACCCTTAACTTATTTTTTATAAATAGGAAATCCTGTATATATATATTGCGATTTTAAAAGAAGTTTTTATAGGTAATTTATACATACAAAGTCTGAGAAAAAAAATTGTTAAAACAAGAAATATATCACTTTACACTTAAAGAATATATAACAAATCTATCGTCAGACCTGTAATGGCATAGGGATGCGAAACGGGAACCATGACCAAAGCAAAAAAAAAGCTCAGACGCTTTGAACGAAAAATTTTCGGACCTCACCATGACATTAACACAAACCAGTATAAGATCAAAAACAATATCGAATTAAAAGTTACTTTACAATGACGCCTTACGAAATTACGAAGTCAACCCTTTTTCCAAACGTTTGTAAATTATTTTGGTTTTAATAAGACCAGAACGACATCCCTGCATCCTCAATCAGATGGAATGGTCGAAAGAATGAAACGAACTATAGGTAAACACTGGTCAAAAGTTGTATCAGAACTGCAAAGAGATTGGGACCAGCACATTTATTTATTCCTAATGGCCTACCGCTTGGCCGTGAATAAAACTACAGGCCAGACTCCAACCTGTCTGA